AGCCTATTACAGACATCTCTTTCATCACTTTTTTTGAATGTTTGAAAATTGTTATCAAAGTTACAAAACAATTTACTTATTATTTATTAACATGATACTAAAAAGTAATATATTCTAGATTCCTGCTCCATTTATACTACTTACAACAAAATACAGCTATTATGTCCTCTTTTTATGATTTTACAAATAATATATTTTAATTGCAATATATTTTTCGTAAGCTCTTGGTTCACAACTTCTCTGACCTATTAAGCATAATATGACATAACATTATACACGTTACTTGCCAATCATTTCGGAACAAAATAATATCTAACAATTAAGTCACGACCGTTCAGTGCAATTCATCAAACCGCCGAGTGTCATTCTCCAGTGCCACGCCAAAGAAACCAATGGAAATTGTTTTCAATACTCGAGGTGGTAAACGACTGCTTCACAATGTTAACAAGCCCATTTTTTGGCCGTCGCGTCGCGCACAAAACACAGGCGGCGGCGGGATTTCGTCGAGTCATTACGGCGAAATCGCGCCTTCTTGCCCAGCGCCAACCTAATGACGACGAACAAACAGACTCGCGCGGTCTCTGGCAACGATCGCCCAGCGCCGGTCCGGCTCTCGAGACGAGACGAGACGAGGCGAGAGCGAGCCGTGGCAAACGACGCCGCGATCACCGCACGACACCCGTGTCGGGCTCGCCCTCGCCGCACGGAGCGATTTTCAATTTCGGCGGCGACGGCAAAACCTGCTATCGGGGCGCGCAAATGGCAAGCGATCGTTGCCTCCGTCCTCGCCTGCGCCTTCATTTGTCTCCGGGCGCAGTCCATTCCTCGCGGCACGGACGCCCGGCTCGTCGGCGGCGTTTTGTCGTCGCCCGGGACGAACCAGATGGAACCGACGCTGCGCCGATCTCGTTTGGGAAGGAATCGTGTAGCGCTTAATTCTGTCACTTATCATCGTGGGCGAGTGAACGGCGGAGATATATTTTACGCAAACGAGGCGAATGAAGTGCACCCGTGAAAAAGCGACTTTCGCGTATGTTCGTGGTGGAAGTGACTCCCATATTTCACTTTCGCGACGGTTGCTAAGGAAGTCCTACTTCGAAAACAATTTTTGCAGCCGTGTCGCTTTATAAATCACTTTCATTCTCCAATCAATTTCTGGAGACATGAGTTATTACGTCCCTTTGGACATCATATAACACTAAAAATATAATTTATTGAAAGCAAAATTGCAATAAATTCCAAACCAGAAATCAGATTCATGATTTCTTGGGCAGATTCAATAAGACACATAAATTGAAACTAAACGGGCGATATAATGACATAGAATTGCACAATGTTGCGTAAGAAAGTAGGAAAGAGTGAATGAGAGTGGCCTAGCCGCCGTTAAGAGCTATCCTATCCATCATATCCTCAGAGCCTTCCCTCAGTCACGGGGTAGTGGGCTCCGTAGCGCCGAGTTGGCGGTGTCTGAACGAGTGATTGTTTCGGGGGCACGCCATTTTCCTCAGCTGGCGTGAATACGCATACGCTTTTGCAAAAGACGGGATATCCCAAAAGACTAATTGTGACACAACTTACACTGCCAGATCCGAAAGCAAGTTTCAGTTACACTGTATTGTACACACCTTCACAATCATCCTAACATTGTCACTCAATCGATTTTTTAAATAAATATATATTCCATAATGTTAAATCGTACTGGAACCCGGGTTTACCACTATACGCCAAGCATATTTACGAGACAATGAAGCTCTCCCTGTCGATTTCTATCCTATAGTATAATCCTCCAATACTCGGTATCGTCCAACCAATTACGTTTTCCTAGGAGCCGACTGAGATCATGAATACCTCCTAATCATACCTGGCCTACACTTGTACACCCTGAAACATAGTTGTACCATTTAAAGAAAAATATTGACTTGTAAGATTGACGAATCGGAAGCTTAGAGTTTGTCTGGTTTGTAGCGGTGCCTGTCGGGG